AAACAAAAGCTTGGAGATATTAATCTTGAAAATAAAAAGGAAAGACTTAATTATAAGAACTTGAAGGCTTAAAGATTCCAAAGCTTGAAAGTATTTGAAGACAAATAAATTCGTTGATCCAATCTTACTCTTTTTTAAAACCTAGGAAAAATCTAATTCCATTAGCATCGATTCCATTCAGAGGATCCGGACGCAACCCCCAAGGTGCATAATCTGCAAGTTGCATCAGTAGTCAACCATCAGAAGGGAGGGGAGGCACAGTTGCCGATTATAGCGTTCCCCCGCGAGGAGCGAGGCCTGGAACACCGATCCGGAGAAAGAGAGATGTGCATTCAGCATACGTGCATGCATATACAGGAGGCTCCACACGTCTTCCGCATCGCAAGGATTACGTAATCGCCGTTTATCCCCGATTACAGAGTAGACAGCGCATCAAAACGTTCACTCGCCGTGATTCCGTGGCAAAAGTTGGAAAGAAAAAGACAGAATCCGGCCGCTCTTACCGGGGCACGAGCTACCATATAGTCTAGCCTTTACCCCGAACCCGTTTTTCGCTGTGTCAGCTACTATAATTAGCGATAATTATGTCGGGATTAATTAAGCGTCCCGTCACGGGCCGACCTGTATTCGAAATAACGCAACTGATGTTAATTATGAAATCAGATTAGGAAACGAATTAGCGGTCATAAATACGTCAGAGACGCATCGTTTAATAATAAACTTGTGCAAGCACGCGTGTACTATGGATAGTACCGTGAGTTTTGCGAGATTACTGGTCTCAAGGGTCGTTCAGTGTCATCCCTTTGTCTCTATCCTACGAGCTGAAATGATTTTTTGATTTATAAGTTGGCTTCAAGTCTGAATACATTCTAAATGAAGTAGTAACGTTGTTGACTAATTGGCTAGAGCTACTGGACACCTTTTTAGAAGAAGTTTATGACAGACCCATTCAATATTAATTCTTCTTTGCATGTCTTGTATTATTCCTTGCAGTGTGGACGTAGCGTTCTATAAATATAAAGAGTCTGTGCGCGGTAATCAATGGAGTATGCTTGTAACAACTGATTATAGATCCGACGGATCAGCAAGTGCACGAATAAAGTCCTTGAATAAAGGAATTATTAATTCGTGCTTCGTGCCTGTATTTTTCAATTGACCTTACACTTTTCATAGGGTCTGAATGAATTCAACGTGTCTCCTTTATCACTTTAACTCCATTGATCAGCTGAAAATAAAACATAGGCTCATTAGTCTCTAATCCAGTCTTGAAATATCCTGCTAAAAAAAAAAAAGAAGAGTGATAAATGTAGCTGAAGATTCTTCTGACGACTCAAAAATCAAATGATGACTGGTCATTATTATGGCAACTCAATGTATCTCTTTTTAGCACTGACCTTGCAGTTTTTAGCTCCGTGGTAATTACAGTACAATTAGGAATTTCGACGGATGTAATTTTTGTGCTTGAACCACTGATTGAAAATTGATATTTTACTCAGGCAGATGAAAGAAGGATTAATGATAGACAAGGGGTTGCAGGGAAAGTGATTCCCGCGAGCTCGATCGTGTCGTAAGAATCGCCTACGTTTGGCGATTTAAGTAACTGCCGGCAATCCTGAGCGAGTAATACGCTTTACGAAACGAATATAATAGTAGAGTTGGATGACGATCATGTCATTCGACTCATACGATTATTTACCATACTATTTGGCCTCATTATTGCGATTTAACTGTTACACATGGCTCCGTACGTGTACATTCCATCCTTCCTTCTTCTCTCTTCTCTCGAGTCGTCAAAATTTCCCAACAACACACAGAATGCATAACTCAAAAATGTTGAACTATTTTGTTTTGCAAGTGAATTGAAAAGGAATTAGTTTGGAAGGGATTGGAAAGGTACGATTTCCACGAATATAGAAATTGACAATAAGTTTCAATTGTGAATTTTATAAATTCTTGAATACCTAGGAAACTTTTCTATATCGAATTTATACAAAATTAATAATTTAAATTTCAACCTTTCAAGTCTCAAACGTCAGACTGTTCTGGGTTTTTGATTTCTAGTTTCTTTTCAGAGATTGTGCTTTGGAATTCCAAATTTTTGACACCTATTATTCCAAGTTTTCAGACTTCTCTTCTTTCAGGCTGTTTAATTTTTAACCTTTTTAAATTCCTTACATAATTTACAGAATTCATTCAGTCTTAAAAGTACTTTCAGTATTTCTTCCAAGGATTATATTTCGTAATTTCATTTAAAAAAAAAAAAACATGTTAAAAAGCGTGCAAACATTAGAAAAAGGTGCAAGGCTCGCTGTATTGTGGGCCGTAAGCGCGTCAACCGGAGATGAGTAAATGCTTTCTGCGGAGTGAACGCGCGAAATCGTTTAGAAACTGTTTCATACGAGTAGGCCAGTCGGCATCAGTCAAGTTTCTGAATAGAAACAGCTCCAGATAGTCCCCCCACACTTGCAACGAATCTTTTGCCAGGTCTGGCAATCAATCTTGAGAACATCATGAAAAAATTCGACGTGGTCATTTTCGTAATCAGGCTGCTGATGGTCTGTGCCAGTTAACAAACTTCTTATTAAGATGAGTAGGAATGCAATGGAGAGGAAGGCTAACAATTATCTGGATGAAAATGGAATACCATGTCCTCTACAATGATTGTATCAGTGATTAGAATAATCGCACGCGTTCTGAGGTTGCCAACTTGGTTTGCACGTGTAACTAGAATGTTGCACAGGTAAATTAACGCCATCGTTAATCTTAAATTTACGCTCTATACTATGTGGATTAACTCTGAAAAAAATTTGAATTTTCATCAGAACAAAACTTCTGCAACACGCATCACGCTTACATAAATACGATTATATCATACTTATAATGTTAATTTATCTTCCAAATTAATTCTTCAATTCTCCATTTCTCTCTGTAGCAGTTTTCACTTAAATCAATAAATATTTTCAACGTCAGTATTGCTTCATTCGCAGCACGGTATTTCACATCATGTATATATTTACATTTTACGACCCTGCGAGGATTGATTTCGAAGCGATTGGTGAAAAGTAGCTCTGAGAGTGAAGTTTTCCACGTACGCTCTCCTACCAGCGAATTATAATAATCGTAATTATAATGATGTTGGAATAGTTGGGATCTTTCACCTGGAACTCCTCGTGGCGTGTTTGCCAAACGTATCTCTTCAGTGAAGGTTTCTATTACTGGGGAGGGGGCTAATGTCGTCTAGAATGTGTTTTTGTAACTTATCACAATGCCCTTTGAAACTGTTTCTTTCCATCTGGAATATAATCATCGCAATTCCTGTGATTTTTTTTTTTTTTTTTTTTTAGAAAAAAACGAGGTGCACTGAAAGAGAAGAGCAATTGTTGGATGATACAATTATTAGATGAAAATTTTTTCTCTATCGCAAGAAATTTATAAACTAAACAGAATAATTATTTCTGTTCACATAAAGTTTTTTTTATAACAATACTC